GGAACACAAGCAGGGGGAGTGGGAGAGGGAGAAGCAGGCTTCCGGCTGAGTAGGGAGCCCGATGCAGGGCTCGATCCCAGGACCCTGGGATCATGACCTGAGCTGAAGGCCGTCGCTTAACTAACTGAGCCACCCAGGCGCCCCTAGTTAGTATTAACATGTTTTTGTACTGGCTATGTATGTGACGTGTTTGTCCACTTCATATATATGGAAACCCTGGAAGCCTACGTAACTGCCAGTCAACAGTAATGCCCTTCTAGACGTGAGCGGTGGAGCCCGTTACTGATAGGCACACATTCAGTTTTCCCAAACTCCAAACCTGAAGGTGGCCCTCAATGTGGTAAAGTATCTAAAAACAGTAATTAAACATTTTGACTGGGTCACATGTCTCTTGAACTGAATTTCTGTATCATAATAGCAGCTAAACATAACACGAATAATAGTCAGGCCCTATTCCAAACACTCCATTTGCATGAACTCATGTACCCACCCCTACAACACTGTGAGGTAGATACCAGTATCCCTAACTTACAGATGAGGAAGCTACAGCACAGAGAGGCTGAGTAACTTGGCCAAGGTCACACAGTCATTAAGCGGCCCAGTCACTCTTAGTGCTGTGCTCTCGCCTGGTGCCCACCTCCAGTTAACAGCCCAGGGGTATGTGGTGCCTTTTTAGCAGCCTCTCCCTGTGCCGGTCAGGTTCTCAGAAGAACCTCACAAAGGGAGTCGGGTCAGGTTTAAACTTGTTCTCCCTGCCCCTCGGGCCCCTGAACCTGAACCACGGCACTCAGCCACGGTCGGCTTCACACTGGAGTCAGGCAACTTGTCCCCACTTGATGGTGAACACTGCCGTGCCAGAAGTCAGCTGGCCCTGGGAGCCTTCAGAGAGCACACTAGTGCTTTCCATGAATCGATACGCACACACAGTAGTGTTTACTTAAGATTCCGTCCTGCCAGCTGGAGACTCCAGAAGCGGGTATTCTGAAACAAAAGGATCTGGACCTCTGGGATCTTGCTTTATTTCTCCAATTTCACATTTAGATAAACATAAATTCCTACCTCTCATTTTAACTCTCGGTTGATGATTTTTATTCTCAAACATCTTAGTATTAGCAAGCATGGTCCACTTGTAACTGTTTCCCCAATTTTTTTCCAAAGGACACCCTTGACTCCAGCTAAAGCTTTTAAAAGCAATGAAATAAACGCATTTGTATGTGCTCCTAATGCAAATAAGCGAGTAAGTCCACACTTATCACTGCTTTCAAGACAACACTTTAAGGTAGATTTTTAGCAGATTACCTTGAGCTGGAAGTAAAATAGGAATCATCATTGTCATCACTGTACTTCTTTCTGGGTTTTGCTATGATTGGTGTTTCCTGTTCAATGGTCTGCATATCTGAAGTCACGGAATGTGAAATACCACTTGAGAAAATAGAGAATAAAATGGGAAAAAATTACATTCGTTTATGAAGACACTTGTGTTCACCAAAGAATGAACTATTTATTTATTTATTTAAAAGATTTTATTTATTCATTTGAGAGAGAGAGCACAGCGAGAGGGAACACAAGCAGGGGAAGTGGGAGAGGGAGGAGGAGGCTTCCCGCTGAGCAGGGAGCCCAACGTGGGGCTCGATCCCAAGACCCTGGGATCATGACCTGAGCTGAAGGCAGACGCTTAAAGACTGAGCCACCCAGGCACCCCTGTTTTTTATTTTTTTTTAAAGATTTTATTTATTTATTTGACAGAGAGAGAGAGAGCACAAGCAGGGGGAGTGGCAGAGGGAGAGGGAGAGGGAGAATCAGGCTCCCTGCTCAGCAGGGAGCCTGATGCGGGGCTCGACCCCAGGACCCTGAGATCATGACCTGAGCTGAAGGCAGACGCTTAACGACTGAACCACCCAGGCGCCCCTGAACATTTTAATCTATACTCTCAGCAAAAACAAAAATGTATTAGTGGGGTTAAAAACATGAGCAATAAAAACAGTACATATATTTTTTTGGCATCAGCATTGAAAAGCCTTAGTGAGGACTGGAACGAATTACACAAAATACAGTCACACATATCAGTTCTGTCTGTGGCATCTGCTTAGCAACAAGTCAGGCCTATTTCCTTTTTTTTTGAGACTCAAATTTGGAATTTTTCATGCTGTGTTGACTATGAAAGGAAAAAATTGAAGAAAGGAAGGAATCACAAAAAAATGCTTTTCAAGCTGACGTTAGTAAGGAAAAGCCATTCGCGATCAGCAACCCGGTTTAAATCCTGGAAGCCACATACCTTCTGCAGTTTCCAAATCCCATGCCAAGTCTCTCTGATTCTATCTTTTTTTTGCCACTCATGTTCACCTTCTCGTCCTTTTTCATTTGAATTTCGAGATCCTTATAGGCTAATCGCAGTGATGAAACGCTGCCAGAAAAACCAAATGCTCCTTAATTTAGCTTTAATTCTGTTTTCTCAAATTAAAACACTAAGCAAAATTAAACACATCGCTTATAATTTGAGCTTCGTGCTTCTTTCCATAATTAATAAATAGGAAGGCAAATTGGCATTTTGTCCCCCCCAAAGGTCTTTTTTGAGTAGATGCTCAAGAAAATTTGAATGCGTTTGCAGCCACTTTTTGTTGCTGCTGATCCTACCTTTCTGTTCTAGTTCATATCAGCTATCACCATATGATAATGGTTTATACCACCTGCTACATAATAACATAATATATACTGAAATTATGTTATATAGGATAGTAAAAAAGCAGAATTCCTTATGTGGATTAATATTTTATTTATACTTCTACATTACATAGCAAAAGTATAAGGTTAGTCTCACTGGTTTGCTTGGTTTAAGTATATGCACACACACACACACACACTTAAATGTATTTGACTTTACAAACAGATGAATTAAGAAGCAGTTACTTAATTGCAAAAGGATTCTTCAGAGGATCTCTATATGAGGCTTCTGAGAGCATTTAAAACTGTGCTACAAGCCAGACACTAATGATCTGCTTATCAAACGCCTGTTACAAATGATGCACCAAAGGGGTAAAAAGAGGTATACAACACCGCCCCTGACTCCCAGATTTCTAAACATGTTATAAATACTTAATTTTTTGTAAAGAAAACTATGCCTGTATCAGCAATAACAAGAGTATTTTATATTAGTAAGACAGCAACAAAATATCGGGGTCCTGAAAAGTGCTGTACCTATTTTATCAGGAACTGTAAGCTATTATCCATTTTCTAAAATTGTGTAAAATGTCATGAATTCCTTGTAAGGCACCGTGTAAATTCCATAATAATATAAATACATTTCTCTGTATTAACAGGGAAAGACAATGATATTTCTTACTAGAAAAACATACTCAATAGAAAAAAAAATGCTTGTCTGCTGTTTTCTTCCTTCATAAGCAGGATTTGTTTTGTTTTGATCTGGCAGTTTGCTCTCTTTACTCTTATTCCTACAGAACAGATTCTAGCAATGTACTCAATTTTATCACTCAGAAAATACATAATAGTTTTGAGTATACTTTTTGGAGGAAGACAACAATCTGTTGAAAATCATGAACAGATAAAACTGTAGCAACAGATTCTTCTGGAGAAGACGAATGGATGGGGAGAAAGGTTCTACTAGGGAGAGAGGAGATGGGAGAGCTTTCCTTCTCCGGATCTGACACGGGACTGGGTCTCTTGCCCATGAAAAGCATGCACTTGACTGCGCAGGCTTCTGGTAACACGGGGCCAGCAGCACTGATGGAATTAAGAAGTCAGGCCTCGGTGTTTCTCAGAAGTGCGGGAGCCCTTCCCAGTCCCGGCTCAAGGGAGGGCTTGCAAGCCACTCAGATCAAGCAAGGGAAGCAGCTCTGCCTCTTCCTACTCTCCCCACCAACTGTGCAGACTCCTCTGAGGGTGGGCCCAGGAACTGCCTGCCTGGAGGTGAGGACGAGGCCAGTACACAGTCAGAATTGCACAGGCTGATGAGAGAGAAACAGGCTGCTCCTGACAGTCTACTGAACTGAAATAACTATTCACAGCCATTAAAACATGAACTTGCAGAATACCCTTGTCAAATCTGAAGGATAAAACATGTGCTTTCTCAGGCTGGCGCAGCCCTAATTTGGTGGAAATGGGCTGCCCCGGGTCTGCGAGGGAGGGCAGTGTTTTGGGCACAGTGGTATGGCTGTCCTGAGCGTGGCCAAGAGAGCTGTCAAAGCAGGTTCCCAAGTCAGATCCACAAACACCCCGGGGCCCACATCTCTGCATATATGCCGTACCCAACCGTCCTAATGAAAGCTACCAGTTAAGGCTGGTGTGCTAATCTCCATCCCCTGGACCCGCAGGGAGTGATGGGATCAGGCACTGGATTGTACACGCTCCAGGAAAACCACTCATGAGCAATCTGCACACAGCCACTCCCAAACATCAAGAGAAGCAGTCTAGAGCCTCAGATTTGACCTTCTGCCCCATTCCCCAGGGTCAAGAACCTAGCCTAGAGAAATTAAAGTGAGGTCTGTGACCGCTGGAAGTACGTTTTACAGAAAGCATTTCAAACCATATCTAGCCTAACTACAATTTAGTGCTGCCCCCTATGTTCTTCCAACTGAATGACAAGGAGAAATAACTTCAAATTCTCCGGGCTTAGCAACTAGAAAGCCCCTTGGCAAACTGTTAGTATGAATAGCAAGAAAGCACACTGATTGAGCACTTACTCTGCACCAGGCACTGTCTGATGCACTTTGATGAGCATTAACTAAGTTAATCTTCAAAGCATTAAACCTCATAAAATAAGCATTATTATTTTCTTCATGATGCAGTCTATAGTAACTCAAGTCAAAACTGATAGAATACACATGAAAAGAAGAGAAAACACCATAAAAGTAAAATAAACACACATAAGAACTAGGAACCCAAGCCAGCTCTCCTTTCTGTGTTGTGTTCACCCTGCTTTCTTCTCTCCCAGAGATCTTTTATACCCAGCACATGCACTCTCCAGACGGCCATACTGCTCTTCTGTTTCCAGCACAAACAAAGCCTCTCAAGAGCCTTCAGTGTATACTTACAGCCATTCTCTTGACTGGCCTCCTGGCTTCCAGTTTCTGCCCCATTCTGTGTGTCCTGATCTCACTACCAAACTCACCTTCCAAAATACACCCCCTTCATTCCAGTGCTCCTCTCAGATAAAATGTAAATGACTGGCCTGACTTAAAGGGACTCCACATTATCATTCCAATTTCTCCAATCCAGGCAGCCCCCCCTCCCAGCACCAAAAAATAAATAAATAAATAAAACATAAAAAATTAAATGGCATCTAGAAAGCAAACCTCAGAGTTGTTTGATTAACAGTTTTATTCACTAAAAACACACTACTAGAACTAAGTTAAACTTACACTGATTCTTCCTTAGGTGCCGCCCCGGCCAGAAGGTCTTCCTGTTCCTTCATCTTATCTACAGCTTGGGCTTGTTTTTCAATTTCGTTAAAGCATGTATTCGCCACTTTCTGGGCCCCCAAACTTCCTTTTTTGGCTCCAAGCTAGAAGATAGATAAAATTAGATTCTACCCAAACTGTCTGAAAGCTTTTGCAGCAACAGCTAACATGACTAAGGTTTGTTACCTGCCAGGCACTGTGACCTGCACTTTACATTCATTCTCTCACTTAGTCCTCACAACCCTGTCAAGCTGGCATTGCTATTAGCCCCAGTTCACAGGTGAGCAACTCAAGCTCAGGCAAGTTAAATGACCTGACCAAGATCACACAGCCACGAGGTGACAAAGTGGCTGCCTTGGTGCCTGCCTCCAGAACACGAGCTCTACAGGGAATCGTGTTCTCTGAAAGTTCAGTGGACGACAACCCTCCAAGCCTCGAGTGAGGGCATCGCTTACAGAAATGCACACACGACAGGAACTTCCACGGAGCCTCCACTGATTTTTTTTTTTTTTAATTCTGTCAACAGAAAAATGTCGTCAAATACTCATTCTAGAAAATCTTCACTACGTCTAACATTCACCTCATTGCACAAAGCATAAGTTCTTTATCAAAGCCACATGTATTATACACAATATGGGAAGTGACAAAGGTGGCTTTCTCGAGAGCGTGGGCTGTTTTAGAGCCGAGCCACCAGGTATTTACACACGATACTCACTCCTCTTTTAGCTTGATTTGGTTTCTTTTTTATAATAGAGGACACCTCTGCCAAAAAATAAAAAAAAGAAAGTCAGACCAATAGAAATACATAATTTTTCTATTTTTAGTGTATCTTTTAAAAAATCTTAAGATACACATATCATTATTTAAGAGACTATAACATTTTCCACATGGGTTTGTCACCCAGAAGACTCAGGCATATGAGTGTATTTTACATTAAGAGCTTGGTTAAATGGAGTTTCTTGGTATTTCCAAGTAGTATCCAAACTCAGAGAAAATGTCTTCTGCATACCACACTGAAGAGAAAGAAAGAGCCTGGCCTGACCCCATACACTGCTTTCTTCAGGAGCATTTTTTATGTATATTAGAACAAACTCTCTTATTAAGATCTGCTCTTCAAAAACTTTTAGAATTACTTTAAAATATAAAGTTAGCCAGGCATTATGTATACAACTAAAGCAGTGCTGTGCTTTTTCACCTTGACTTATATACAGATTTTATCGTATTAATCAATAAGAATTACAAAGCATTCCATTATTTTAGTAGCAGTACTTTCTAAATTGTACAAAAATATATGATGCTTTAAGATAGAGCTCCTTAAACATTGTTTTCTGGGTAAACTTTAATCATAGATTATATAGTCTATGTTTAAGAGACTCAGTAAGAATAAAATTTTAACTTTTATCTTACAAAGATGAGAATGTGCTTTAACAGGAAAAGGCAGCATAAAACCACAAACAACAAAAGATTCAAATTTAGCCCTAATGAGAATATAACATCATTACATTTCAAGTATGAAAAAGATATTTATGCAAGTTTTTCTTTCCAGCACCTCCTTTTGGATCCATGTGGCAGTAGTCACATAATCGGCCCCCAACCTCCTACAAGGCTATTAACACAGGATGAAAATATCCAGAACATTTCTAATAGTTTAACTGTTTTTCACCAAAGTACTTGCTTTCCAATTAATGCCACGTAATATGCACTAATTTCAGAATATAATACCCTAATAATGAAACCTTGAAGATCACTGTAAAATCAGAAAGAGAAAAAAATACTAGGAGTTCTTGAGTCAATGGGAATGACAGGGCTGCTCTGCCTTCTGCTCATGCTGGGAACATAAACCAGCACAGCACAAATGAGCAGATCAACAGCATCAGCAGCGACCTCATCCAGGTACACCAGCTGCTGCAATTCACGGGCTGCAAGCTGCCTAAAACGGAAAACACTTTTTTGCTCAATAAAATCTTATTAACAGATTAACGGTCATGACGCTGTATTAGTCTACAAAATCTAGGCAGAATGTAAAGATGGGATTCATTCTTTGTCTTAATGAATCTCACTCTTTAAATCAGAATATAGAGTCATAGGCCTATTACCTGAAGCCCCCTTCGTTGGTGCATTAAGACCTTCCACGCTCGGTGCTTGTTCTGGTCCACCTGCAAGTTAAATATATGATATTAATGCAGAAAATATACTCATCAAACGTGCTTTTGAATATGTAATAAATTCTACTTTCTTGGTTCCACATATCTTACCCAATTTTGCCAATGATTGTTTTTCTGTCTAGCTCCATATTCTATTTTATCATTATAAGAATTTTGATTAAAAAAAAATTTGATTTAAAAGTCCATTGAAATAGAAGTATACTTTTTATTCAGTTGCTTTATAGGATAAAAATGTTCGTGGTCTCTCTAATTAGTATCATTCAAAATTCTACCTTATGATCGGGGCGCCTGGGTGGCTCAGTTGGTTAAGCGACTGCCTTCAGCTCAGGTCATGATCCCAGGGTCCTGGGATCAAGTCCCGCATTGGGCTCCCTGCTCTGCGGGGAGCCTGCTTCTCCCTCTCCCACTCCCCCTGCTTGTGTTCCCTCTCTCGCTGTGTCTCTCTCTGTCAAATAAATAAATAAAATCTTTAAAAAAAAAAAAAATTCTACCTTATGATCTGGTGTTTTAAAATAAACTGTTCTGAGATACCTAGTACATATGTGGATTAAACACCCAATATATGTTAACATTTGTAAATTCCAACACCAATCGTATCAGTGATAGAAACCTAAATTTCCAGGTGCCAGAAAAATCTGCCGTTTTCTACTTTGCCTGAAAAATTATTCTGGTTAGGAAACTCTATTATGTCTTCATTAAAAAAATCGTTTGTTATCTTGATTTTATTCCTGATTTTATTCCTTTAAAAATTAATAAACAAGGGGCATTTGGATGGCTCTGTCGGTTGAGCATCTGCCTTCAGCTCAGGTCAGGATCCCGGGGTCCTGGGATCAAGTCCCGCTGAGCAAGGAGCCTGTTTCTCCCTCTCCCTGCTGCTCTGCCTACTTGTGCTCGCTCTCTCTCGTCAAGTAAATAAATAAAATCTTTGACAAAAAATGAATAAACAAGATGTAGTCTATTCAGGCGATGGGATATTACTTGGCCAGAAAACGGAATGATGTGCTGATACCTGCTACCACATGGATGGACCTGGAAAACATGATGCTAAGCTCAAGAAGCGGGTCACAGAAGACCCTACCTCGTAGGATTCCATTGATACGAAATGTCTAGAACAGGCAAATCCTTAGAGACAGAAGCAGACTGGCAGTTGCCAGAGGCTGGAGGCAGGGCAGAATGGGGGCTGATCGTCGGTACAGGCTTTCTCTGGGGGCTGCTGAAAATGTTCACACCTTGTGAATATACAAAAACCACTGAGTTCAACAGTTTAAAAAAGGGTAAATTTTATGATGTGTGAATTATATGTCAATAAAGCTGTTATTTAAGGGGCGCCTGGGTGGCTCAGGCGGTTGAGCGTCTGCCTTCGGCTCAGGTCATGGTCCCGGGGTCCTGGGATCGAGCCCCGCGTCGGGCTCCCTGCTCAGCGGGAAGCCTGCTTATCCCTCTCCCACTCCCCCGCTTGTGTTCCCCCTCTCACTGTCTCTCTGTCAAATAAATAAATAAAATCTTTAAAAAAATAAAAAATAAAAAAAAATAAAGCTGTTATTTAAAACAGGGCAGGCCTGACAGAGGTTTAGAGGAAACATACTGGTCTTACTTTTTATAAATATTTATTTATTTATTTATTTATTTATTTATAAAGTTTTACTTATTTGGGGCGCCTCGTGGCTCAGTGGGTTAAGTGTCTGACTCTTGATTTTGGCTCAAGTCATGATCTTAGGGTCGTGAGATCAAGCCCCATGTTGGGCTCCGTGCTGAGCATGGAGTCTGCTTAAGATTTTCTCTCACTTTCTCCCTCTGCCCCTCCCCGCTTGCGTGCTCTCTCTCTCTCTCAAAAAAAAAGATTTATTTGGGGGTGCTTGGGTGGCTCAGGC